TCAAAAGGCTGGCGGGGCGGACCAGAAGGCGGTGGGCCCGGGCGGCCCGGAGGGAGTGGCATTGGGCCAGCTTTTGCTGGCGACGGGCCAGCAGATGGGCTAGACGCGGCCGCTGGGCTGGACGCCGTTGGCGGTGGGATGGGCAATGGGATGGGCTTCGGAGTCGTCGATGGCGCAGAACCTGAAGGCAATTTCAGACCCCAAATGTAGCCTCTTCATGAAACAGGAGAACTTTCAAGCCCACAAGCCTTGATCGACACGTTTGCCGGTGTAGTGCGCACGCTTCTTGGATGTGGCACTGTTGGGGTCCTTGACGGCCATCCATGGTTTATCAACATTTAAGCACGTTTCAAATTACTATGCAGAATGCTTTATGAAACACCTGCTTCTCAGCCGAGATGCTCTGGAGTTCCTGCCCTTAGCCTTCCCAGCAGCGCCCGTGCCCTTGGCAGCATCCGCGCCCTTGGCAGCATGAGAGCCCTTAGCATCCGCCTCGGCAGCATCCGCGCCCTCTGCAGCATCCGCTTCGCGCTTGCGGCGAACCATGGCGTGAAACTGTGAAACGAATACACAGATTTCAAGGAATGACTGCGATTCTGCATTTGAAGGACGAAATGACCGTCGCTTAACAAATATGTGACTGTGCACTACTTGGATGGGTAGATGCGCCGTGAGCGACGAGACATTTATTTAAAGAATGACTGCGACTCTTATGAATGAATGCTGCCCTCACTGGCCACTCTAGCTTGGCCACCGCAGGGCCATGCGTTCTCAACACAATGAGATCGAGAAGCAGCGACGCGGAGTGGAGCAAGCACGTGTCAGCAAATGAAAGGGTTCAGGGCAAGGTTTTTAAGCTTCAAGGGCATTAAGCAGTGAGGGTGCAGGGTCCAGGGTGCCCGGAGTGTTTGTTTTACGGGTTCCAAGACTAAGATGAAGGTGGAGTCATGCCTGTAACGAGGCAGCCTTCGCCAGAATCCCAAAGTGCATCCCACGCCCACGCCCGAGACACTTCCCGAAACACTTCTGTCCTGCTCTGAAGCCCCAGCCGCGCGTGCTTCCGGGAAGGCCACCAGGGGCCTGGCTTTAAATCATGCCGGAGCCCAAGATCCCATCATTGACATGCACAGCTGACTCCCCGAGCACAAGCCCTGAACATCTCACCAAACCTGAAATCCCAGCATGTATGGCCTAGGCTCTCGGGCTTGGGTTGGGAAAGCTAGCTGGCGGATCAGGGCTCTGCAGAAGGGATCCAGGTCGCTTCCAGGAATGTGAAAGTGGCACGACTCATATTTTACTGCCCATCCACTTCCACGAAATTGACCGAACAGCCCTAACACCCAGGCCTGCGGCCCGGCAGGACTCGATGAGGGAGAAGCACGAACAGAGAAGTAGAGAAGGCATCCCATTTTTAGAAAAGACCTATCCCCAACCCACCCAACCCCAAAACCTAAACCACACCCATACACAAATGCCCAGCCTAAGAAAATTAGAAGTGCTAGTGGCTCTTAAGGGCCCGACGCAAAATCCAATATTTGTTCTAGAACAAAGGCTGACTAAACAGGAAGTCATGTCTAGGGCCAGGCCGAAGACACACCCACCTAGCTGACCGCTAAGACTACCTAAGCAGCTGAGACTACCTGTTTTACATCCAGGGCTCCGGGGCTAGACTACCTACCCGAAAACCCTTAAACGATGACGCTACATGTTTGGGGTCGGGGTCCTCGAGCCTCGATGTCTGGAGAAGCCTTGGCCTTGAGAGCGAGACGAACCCTGAAGGGACAGGCAGGCAGAACCCCAAGCCTGTGCACACGCCCGCGTGTGTCTCTGTGTGTGTGTGTGGGTGTGAGTGGGTGTGTGTGTGTGTGTGTACACGCCTGAACATGGTGATCGCTGTGACTGACATTTCCATTTGCAGGGGGCAGTGACCCGCTCATACGCTCACTGCCAATGAAGCTGCTTATGAGTTGGGAGGATATCCAGGCTGATCACCTGGACGTACCTGCATGTGGAGTACCTGCGCAACGCCGTTGCAGCTGGTATCCACCACACTTTTTGTGACATCATGTACCCTGAAGTCCCAAAATTCCCATCTCGATGATCGCACCGCTGTGCCTTGGATCGCCAGCACCTTGGATTTATGGGCCTTGGATACCACAACTGGCAACAGGAGCTGCCGCTCGAGGCAGGCAACCATGCTCCTTTTCATTCTTCCCTTCTTCTTGACTCCTCTTGAGTGTGTTGTGGGTCTGGTGGTTGGTACATGTTGGTACCGTGATCACTGCATCAGTTCATGCCAAGCCAAAGTGCGTACCAGTTCTGGTTTTTCCCGACATGGGGCCAGATCTCAGGGGCATGTGCCCGAGCCCGCGATAGCGGATGAGTGAATCACAACGTTGCAGACGCTTGTTCTCATCCATCGGGATCATCTGCAGTAGGATGACATGTGCCTGCAGTGGGCTTCATCGGGATCATCGGTCACTGCACGGTCAAGGGCCGCGGTCAAGGGTTGATCAGTAGAGACAGCTTGCTGAACATGTGCTTTCCCTAGGAGTGCAGGTAGATCGTCTGTGCATGTGCAGGTAGGAGGACCAGGTAGGCACGCGCTCAAGGTATCCGGAATCCTTAAACAGACATGTCATTGACTGTCCTCCCATGATGCTGTCTGACCCCCTGTTTTGTTGATTTCGCGTTTCTTGTTGCCTCCTGGTGTCGTTCCTGTTTTGTTGTCTCTGCCTCCTCTCTTGTTGCTGTTCATGACTGGCTTGCTGACACCTGCTTTCTTCTTCGCGTCCTTTTCGCCCTTCGGGGCGTGTGTGTGTGTAAACGCCTGAACATGGTGATCGCTGTGACTGACATTTCCATTTGCAGGGGGCAGTGACCCGCTCATACGCTCACTGCCAATGAAGCTGCTTATGAGTTGGGAGGATATCCAGGCTGATCACCTGGACGTACCTGCATGTGGAGTACCTGGGCAACGCCGTTGCAGCTGGTATCCACCACACTTTTTGTGACATCATGTACCCTGAAGTCCCAAAATTCCCATCTCGATGATCGCACCGCTGTGCCTTGGATCGCCAGCACCTTGGATTTATGGGCCTTGGATACCACAACTGGCAACAGGAGCTGCCGCTCGAGGCAGGCAACCATGCTCCTTTTCATTCTTCCCTTCTTCTTGACTCCTCTTGAGTGTGTTGTGGGTCTGGTGGTTGGTACATGTTGGTACCGTGATCACTGCATCAGTTCATGCCAAGCCAAAGTGTGTGTGTGTGTGTGTGCGCACGCGTGTGTGCGTGTGCCTATGTTCTTACATGTGCGCCAATGCCGCACGCAGGCCTTGGCTGTGATCTAAAAAAGAGCAAAGGATCAGCAACGGCAACAATCCAAACCAATGTGGGTTCTCAGCCCTCAAATTGATTCCCAAAGCAGTCCTCTATGCCTCAGCCCCCTAAAAAAGGCCTGACATTCCCTACACTCGAACTCGCAAAATCAATTTTTGCGTTTTTTTTGCGGAAGATTGTGTATTTCGATGTATTTTGTCAGCCATTTGCCGATGTTTCCGAATGTCGTTCGCTTGCACGTATAATATGTTCGCAGAACAAATTCCCTACACTCGAACTCTCAAAATCTATTTTTGCGCTTTTTGTGGATGATTCTGTATTTCGATGTTTTTTGTCAGCCATTTGCCGATGTTTTCGACTGTCGTTCGCTTGCACATATAATATATTCGCAGAACAAATTCCCTACACTCGAACTCTCAAAATCTATTTTTGCGTTTTTGTGGATGATTGTTGATTTCGATGTTTTTTGTCAGCCATTTGCCGATGTTCTCGAATGTCGTTCGCTTGCACGTATAATTTATTCGCAGAACAAATTCCCTACACTCGAACTCTCAAAATCTTTTTGTGCGTTTTTGTTGATGATTGTTGATTTCGATGTTTTTGTCAGCCATTTGCCGATGTTTTCGACTCCTTGCACGTATAATATATTCGCAGAACAAATTCCCTACACTCGAACTCTCAACATCTATTTTTGCGTTTTTTTGTGGATGATTCTGTATTTCGATGTTTTTGTCAGCCATTTGCCGATGTTTTCGACTGTCGTTCGCTTGCACATATAATATATTCGCAGAACAAATTCCCTACACTCGAACTCTCAAAATCTATTTTTTGCGTTTTTTGTGGATGCTTGCTGATTTCATTGTTTTTTGTAGCCATTTGCCGATGTTCTCGAATGTCGTTCGCTTGCACGTATAATATATTCGCAGAACAAATTCCCTACACTCGAACTCTCAAAATCTATTTTTGCGTTTTTTGTGGATGATTGTTGATTTCGATGTTTTTTTGTCAGCCATTTGCCGATGCTTTCGACTGTCGCTCGCTTGCACGTATAATATATTCGCAGAACAAAATCCCTACACTCGAACTCTCAAAATCTATTTTTGCGCTTTTTTGTGGATGATTGTTGATGTCGATGTTTTTGTCAGCCATTTGCCGATGTTTTCGACTGTCGTTCGCTTGCACGTATAATATATTCGCAGAACAAATTCCCTACACTCGAACTCTCAACATGTATTTTTGCGTCTTTTTTGTGGATGATTCTGTATTTCGATGTTTTTGTCAGCCATTTGCCGATGTTTTCGACTGTCGTTCGCTTGCACATATAATATATTCGCAGAACAAATTCCCTACACTCGAACTCTCAAAATCTATTTTTGCGCTTTTTGTGGATGATTGTTGATTTCAATGCTTTTGTAAGCCATTTGCCGATGTTCTCGAATGTCGTTCGCTTGCACGTATAATATATTCGCAGAACAAATTCCCTACACTCGAACTCTCAAAATCTATTTTTTGTTTTTTTGTGGATGATTGTTGATTTCGATGTGTTTGTCAGCCATTGGCCAATGTTTTCGACTGTCGCTCGCTTGCACGTATAATATATTCGCAGAACAAAACCCCTACGCTCGAACTCTCAAAATCTATTTTGTGCGTTTTTTGTTGATGCAGCAAACAGTCTTAGCAAGTGTGTTATTCTGCCAAAGTTCTTCGCGTGAGCGAGCAGTCGGATACGGCGTAGAGCGAAGCAAACTCGATGACGATGAAGAAGTACGCGGCATAGAGCGAGGCAAAGCCGAGGACCATGAAGATGTGTCCGGCACGGAGCGAGGCAAAGCCGAGGACCATGAAGACGTGCCGGCCACGGAGCGAGGCAAAGTCGAGGACCATGAAGACTGGTCTGGCATGGATGAAGACGGGTCTGGCATGGAGCGAGGCAAAGTCGAGGACCATGAAGACGGGTCTGGCATGGAGTGGCGGCGGTTCCAACGATTCACACGCTCCGAACTGTTCCACCCAGTGGCATTCCAAGAAGAGTCAGCATGCCAGGAAGAGTCTGAGGAGCCCGAGGTACGCCAGGAAGAGTCTGAGGAGCCAGAGGCATTCCACGCAGAGTCGGCATCACGGCGGTCCTGCCACTGCTGCACGCGCCTCCATCGGCGCTCCCAACGACTGAACTCCATGGACGAGTCCGACATCGAAAGAGACACGCACAAGAAAGAGGTAAACGTGGACAAAAACTTGGGCAACAAATGCCTGCGATGGCAAAACAAGACAAGGGAACAGGTGGAGCACAGCACGTGCAATGAGAAAGTTTCAGAAGTACGTGCCTACTCAGGGAACCCACAGCGTCTGATGGCACTCCTGCTTCTGAGGGTGGGGCAAACACCATGCACTTTGGGAGGGGGTCGCCAAAAGGAAGAGTGTGTCAAACACAGCAAGCAGAGGCGATGTCAGTCCTATATTTCACCCATACATAGGTTCCACACGTTGCAAGTTTTCAAAGGGCCAGCGTGTGCAACGCAAGCCCTTAGCAGCCCAGATACTTGCCCCACTACCCGGGCTGGGATGTCTGAAATATGTACCTCGCAGTCTGTAACGAGTTAGAAATTTATAGCATTGCAGCTGAACTGCACCAGAGCTACTTCTGGTACCCAGCAAGAAAAACAAAAGAGAGACTGAGGCTGCCCATATGTGAGACAGGAACCTTCATGATATGTTCGCCTCGGCTTCCAACCATTTTGCGTCTAGAGCTAGAGCAAGCAGACCATGACCTGGTTTCCTTCCCTCCTTCCCGAAATCTCTGACTCACCCCCCCTCCTCCCGCCCTGTGGGACCTGCCAAAACCACTTGGAGGCGCTGCAACCCTCTAAAACCTCCCTGGGACACTTTCTTGGCACCGTCGCGAAAATATCCGCAAACATATCCACCCTGTAACAGCGGGCGTCGCGCATCAGACCATTGGATGGGGACTTTGAAGACGCAAAATACCCAGACACCGGGCGTCGCGAAAATATCTACCCTGTAACACCCGGCGTCGCGAAAATATCTACGAAAATATCCACCCTGTCACACCGGGCGTCGCGCACCAGGCCATTGGATGGGGACTTTGAAGGCGTACAATTCCCAGAAATCACCAACACTTACCCTGTAACACCGGGCGTCGCGAAAATATCTACATAGAAATTGTATAGGGTTCGTGTCCGGAGTTTTGTACGTTGTTTTGCTTTTCGCTGAGTTTTTGCTGAAAACACCTGCTTTTTCAGCATTTTTTTCAACCCCTCGAAAAGGGTTGGGGGGGTAATTGCCCAAAATCACAAAAAACTGCCATTTGGGTGGTTTCCAGGGCCGCCAAACTAGCCAAAATCCCTATGTTTTGGTGCTAGATTAGGGTTTGTGAAAGCCAAGAATTGCAAAAAATCACTAAAATTGCAATTTGGAGAGTTTTCAAGGCTGCCAAATGAGCCCAAATCCCTATGTTTTGGCCTTAGGTTGAGGATTTGTGAACGCCAAAATGGTCAAAAATCACTAAAAATTGCCATTTCGGTGGTTTCCAAAGTCGCCAAATTGGCCAAAATTCATATGTTTTGGCTCTAGATTGAGGGTTTGTGAAGGCCAAAAATTGCACAAAATCACAAAAAACACCATTTGGGTGGTTTCCCAGGCCGCCAAACTAGCCGAAATCCCTATGTTTTGGCCCTGGCTTGAGAGTTTGTGAAAGCCAAAGTCAAAAAGCACAAAAAAATTTCCATTTGGGCGGTTTTCAAGGCCGCCAAATGAGCCAAAATCCCTATGTTTTGCCCTAAGTTGAGGCTTTGCGACGGCCAAAAATGATCAAACATCACTAAAACATGCCATTTGGGTGGTTTCCAGGGCCGCCAAACTAGCCAAAATCCCTATGATTTGGCCGTAGATTGAGGGTTTGTGAAAGCAAAAAATGGTCAAAAATCACTAAAAATTGGAATTTGGGTGGTTTCCAAGGCTGCCAAACTAGCCAAAATCCCTATGTTTTGGCCGTAGATTGAGGGTTTGTGAAAGCAATAAATGATCAACAATCACTAAAAATTGTCATTTGTGTGGTTTCCACAGCCTCCAAACGCGCCAATGTCGCGAAAATATCCGCAAACATATCCACCCTGCAACACCGGGCGTCGCGAAAATATCTACCCTGTCACACCGGGCGTCGCGAAAATATCTACCCTGTTACACCAGGCGTCGCGAAAATCTCTGCCCTGTCACAGCGGGCGTCGCGCACTAGGCCATTGGATAGGGACTTTGAAGGCGCAAAATACCAAGAGATCACAGATACATACCCTGTAACACCGGGCGTCGCGAAAATATCTACGAAAATATCCACCCTGCAACACCGGGCGTCGCGCATCAGGCCATTGGATGGGGACTTTGAAGGCGTAAAATTCCCAGAAATCACCAATACTTACCCTGTGACACCGGGCGTCGCGCATCTGGCTTTTTTTCTAATGTCTCCCCATTGAGGCCAACCGGGGGTTTCAGTAGTTTGAATGATTGAATAGATTGAATAGTTTGAATAGTTTGAATAGTTTGAATAGTTTGAATAGTTTGAATAGTTTTGGGGGGTCCCTGGGAGGAGAGGAGGGTTTGAATAGTTTGAATAGTTTAGGGGTCCGAACTCCTCCCGGGGACCCCCCAAAACTATTCAAACTATTCAAACTATTCAAACCCCCAGGGGTTTGAACAGTTTGAATAGTTTGGATAGTTTAGGGCCCCAGGCCGGACCCTCCAAACTATTCAAACTATTCAAACTATTCAATAGTTTGAATAGTTTGAATAGTTTGAATAGTTTAGGGCCCCAGGCCGGACGCCCCCCAGGGTTTGAATAGTTTGAATAGTTTAGGGCCCCAGTTCGGACCCCCAAACTATTCAAACTATTCAAACACCCCCCCCCCCTCCTCTCCTCCCAGGGACCCCCCAAAACTATTCAAACTATTCAAACTATTCAAACTATTCAAACTATTCAAACTATTCAAACTATTCAAACTATTCAAACTATTCAAACTATTCAAACTATTCAAACTATTCAAACTATTCAAACTATTCAAACCCCCAGGGTTTGAATAGTTTGAATAGTTTGGATAGTTTAGGGCCCCAGTTCGGACCCCCAAACTATTCAAACTATTCAACCCCCCCCCCCCTCCTCTCCTCCCAGGGACCCCCCAAAACTATTCAAACTATTCAAACTATTCAAACTATTCAAACTATTCAAACTATTCAAACTATTCAAACTATTCAAACTATTCAAACTATTCAAACTATTCAAACTATTCAAACTATTCAAACCCCCAGGGTTTGAATAGTTTGAATAGTTTGGATAGTTTAGGGCCCCAGGCCGGACCCTCCAAACTATTCAAACTATTCAAACCCCCAGGGTTTGAATAGTTTGAATAGTTTGAATAGTTTGAATAGTTTGAATAGTTTGAATAGTTTGAATAGTTTGAATAGTTTGAATAGTTTGAATAGTTTGAATAGTTTGATTAAGTTTAGGGCCCCAGGCCGGACCCCCCCCCAGGGTTTGAATAGTTTGAATAGTTTAGGGCCCCAGTTCGGACCCCCAAACTATTCAAACTATTCAAACCCCCCCCCTCCTCTCCTCCCAGGGACCCCCCAAAACTATTCAAACTATTCAAACTATTCAAACCACCAGGGTTTGAATAGTTTGAATAGTTTAGGGCCCCAGGCGTGACCCCCCAAACTATTCAAACTATTCAAACCCCACCCCCCCCCCCCCCCCCCCCCCCCCCAACAAAAGGACGAATCATCACATTATACACAACGGTTCCTGCCTCATACATATATATATATATATATTGTTAGATAATGCATACAACTCAAAATACAAGGTATCGCAAAGTATACATATATACATATATATATATATGTAAAATATGCGAATGACAAATAATACAATATTTTGGATAAGAAAGTATCTGTGTATATATATATACACATACAGATTTTGATGTTTTAAAATAATACACCACACCTTGCCTGGCTCAAATACAGACTGTAACACACCACGAACTACCAAAATGGCATCAGTATCTATCAAGAGTAAGTATGGAATGAGATGTACGATGATGTAAGAGACGCTATAAGATATACGGTAAAATTATATAGACATACATACCTGGAATGAAACATGATATCTGATTTTGTAAAAAATCATGTCTTGTATAGATATACCTTGTATATATACAAACACCTAAACTGTTAGGTTCTAAAGTTCTACACAAAATCACATGAAGCAATCATCAGTTTCGAACGTTGCGTTTCAAACGCTGTCTTCTGATGTCCTGTAAATGGGATTTACAGACAACTTAAATTCACAACATGTACTGTACACTATATGAATGGTGAAATTGTAATGTTCTTGCGATGGAAGCTTTATGCGATGTGGTGCGTGTCTGCACGACTGCATGTTTGTTTCATGACTTGCGCAGCAACACAAAAAAACATACAACAAGAACAACTCATAGCAGAGAGACTAAACACAAACACATACAAAGTGTAAACAAATAAACAAATAAAGAAATACATATTATGAAAATCATAATGTATATGTATATATATATATGTATATGTATATATTTACACCTAACACTTCATGGGAAAAAACACCAACGAATCGAAACAACATGCACGGTACGTTGTTTGAATAGTCGTGAAATGGTAGTATTCTTGTGATGGAAGCTTTGTACGATGCGGTGTGACGGTGTGTGTCTGCACGTTTGCGTTTCCTGACCTGCGCGGCAACACAAAAACATACAACAAGAACAACTCATAGCAGAGAACTACACACAAAACAAATATCAAGTGTATATTATGTATGATTATATCTAATACTTAATGAGACAAACACAAAAAATCAAAAATCTCCGAAACAGGGGCCCAGTACACCCTACGCCCTAAACCCTAAACCCTAAACCCTAGACCCTAAACCCTAAACCTTAAATCCTAACCCGAAACCCTAAACCCTAAACCGCAAGTAAAGGGAACCTTGAACCACAAAAGGTGGAAAAGGGTACCACTGGGCTACCGAGTTGAGAACTTCAGGTTCTGGATCCCCCGGTTGCTGAGGTGAGTGTTGGTAGGATTCGGGCGCTGATGGGTTGGGGTTTCGGGGTTAGGGGTTAGGGTTTAGGGTTTACGGTTTAGGGTCTAGGGCTTAGGGTTTCGGGTTCGGATTTCGGGTTTAGGGTTTCGGGTTTAGGGTTTTCTGAAACGTTGTTGTGGCCGTCCTCTGGGCGGAAGTGGGCTTTTGCGACGCCTTGTGCAAGTGTCAAGCGACTTTCAGACGTTTACAAGTTACTGGCTTGGACGAAGCTGAGTCAGAACAACGT